GCGGGCAGAGGCGGGCACCCCCTCCGCGACCGCCGCACTCACAGGTGAGGCGTGTCACCCAGAGCAGTGGGCCCTGCTGCCCTCTCCCGTCTGCTGACCTCAGACCCCAGGACCTTCTCGCCAGCCCAGGGGACCCGCTCAGCTGGCTCCTGGCCCCCACGCGGACCTCCTGGCTGACATGGCCCCAGGCTGTGGGCGGGGGCCCCCAGCAGCGGCCCAGCCGGGGAGAGAGGGGCTGAGGCCAGGCCAAGAAAGAACCCTCATTAGGGATGCGCCCCACAGGCCGAGAGCCGGCGGGTGGACAGCTCAGCAGGTGGCCTTTTCCCTTTTTAATTTCAGAGTCGAAACCTTTTCCCTCATCAGTCACATGGGCCCATTTCTCATTTCAGTTCCGAGGAAGTGCTCGGGGTGACCCCAGATTCTTTGAAGCAGCTGTGACGAGTTGGGCGACGGGGACGGGGAGCAGCGGTGCTGGAGGGGACGGTGGTGCCCGGCCTTACGCCCCAGCGCCCGCACAGCCGGCAGCTGGACAGACACGGGCCGAGGGGACGCACTGCTGCCACCCGCAGGGGCCGCCGCAGACCCTCCCTCGGGCCCCAGGTAGCAGCTTTGGTGAGAGGACAGGCAGGCAGCGAAGTCTCGCCCAATCCTGGGGCTGAGCACGGGCGAGCTGCGCCGAGAACCGAGGCCCCAGCGTGGAAGCCAGGTCTGGAGAACGAAACCGTCACGACAGGAATTTGCAAAACACAGGAACCAACCTGGGGAGAAGGACAGAGACGCAGCGAGAGGCCTGGCGGCTGCGTCCTCCTGCCCAAGCCCCCGCCTGGCCTGTCTGCAGGCCGCCCCCGTAGCAGCACGTTTGCGTAGTTGTCCTTAGTGGGAGCGTTACTTCCGGGCAGAGGTATCGGGAAGGGGCTGCAGGGACATGCGTGGGCCCGGCCCCGCCCTGCGCAGCCACGAGGGACGGGCTGCGGCGGCACCGGCTCTCTGATCGCTGTGGTAACTTGTCCAGAACGAGCAGTGCGCCGTGGTCTCGCATCGGGATGGAGGCGGCGGGCGTGCACCGCACCCTGAAGCCCGTCTCGGGGCAGCTGTGTTCTCAGGGGGGTTGGGGTGTAGAGGCCGAGTGAGGGTGTGAACCCCGAGACGGTGACGTCCCTCAAGGGCAAAGCAGAGCTGAGGCTTGGGGAGACGGAGCAGCTGGCTGCCTCCTGCACTGACAGCTCTGGGGGCCCCTCCTCCGCCGCCATGTCCTCCCACCCAACAGCGTCCTGTCCTGCATGAGGCCTGCGCTCCGTCCCTGTCAAGTGAGAGGCCACCCCCAACCCAGGAGCCTTCCCCTCCTCTCGGCCTGAGTGACCAGCAGGGGCATCTGTCCACAGAGGCAGCGCCCTCCGGAGGTGGAGACCTTCTCAGAGGAAGCAGCAGCATCCTGAGCGATGCCAGGACCTCAGGACCTCACACCCTCCCCGGGGCCAGGGGTGGGGGTGGGGCACGGAACAACCAGCAAACCCGTCTCCCGGCTCAGAGTTCTTGCTGGGCCCTCCTCTTAGCGACTCGGGGACCCACTCTCACTGTTTCCATTGGGCTCGGTTCTTAAACAGGAAAAAGAAAATACCCAGAGCCAGCAAACCCCACACAGGAGCCAAGAAGCCCGGAAGGGACCCTTGTGTGGGGCGTGAGCGGGGGAGGTGGGGGGAGGGGTGGCCTGGCCGGGCGCCCAGGCCCTGCAGACTGTGCCCTCCATGGCAGGCATTCCCGGGAGAGCTCAGTGGGGACGGGCCGGCCTCCTGCGTCCGCGTGCCGTGGGCCCGGAGAAGGCGCAGCCCGGCAGGCGCCCTCTCGGGACACCGTCACTCCCAACACCACCCTGAACGCCTCGGGGGATGCACACCACGTGTCCAGCTACTCCTGTGACCCCTCCCGTGCAGGACTCCCTGCGTTGGAGCCGGAACGTGCAGCACAGCAGCAGGGGCCCGAGTGCCCAAAGCCAGTGCCCTCGGCCGCTTGCCTCTTCTGCAGACGCGAGCCCCCAGGTGACCACAGCGAAGGGTCTCGGACTGAGGCTGTAGTGATGTGGGGATCGCGCCAGCAGACTTCTCGCTTTCCCAACCTCGGCTGGCGTCGGCCCGCCCTCCACGGACTCAGGGCGCCCTCTCTTGGCCAGCTCTGAGGGCACCGGGCAACCTTCCTGCTACGGCGTACACTTCCGGGCTAGGCCGTGCCCGGGCCTGCCGCACGAGCCAGGCGCGCTCTGTGGTCAGATGACAGGACGCAGGTCTGTGCCCGAGACACAGCCCCTCCGGGCCGCACGGCCCCTCCTCAGCTCCAGCAGGGGCACATGGCACCTTCGGACCTTGTCCCTCCCCCTCGTCCCCTCGCCCACCTCCCTCCATTCTCCCTGCACCTCTGGCTGCCGAGTGGGGTCCTCACTGAAAATGGACAGAGAAACCAAAACATCTCAAAAGCCATAAAAAAGGGTCGGAGCCAGACCCAGGGGATCAGGCGAAGACCCGACAGTGTCCATGGCCAGCGGCCCTGCTCCGTGGCGCCGCGCCCAGAGGCACGCCCGTGGGTCCTGCCGTCAGGAGCAGGCGCATCTGGGTGACACGTCCCCAAGGGAGGGAAGCAGCCGCAGGGACCCTGCTCAGACCTGCGGCCAGGCCTCCGCCAGCCCATCCTCACGCCCGCCACCACGTGCACAGCAGGCACAGGAGGGAGCTGACGGACAGGAACCGGTGCTGTGGGCGGAGGGGGTTCTCGTATCCCAGGGTGGGGGCGGGGGACCGAGGGCGGCGCCAGCTCACTCCATCGCCCGCTTCTCTGGCGTCCCGGAGGCGGCAGGTGGACTTCCCAAGAGCGTCTCCCACGTGAGGTTCGTCCTCCCGTCCGTGCGGGAGGGCACAGGCCCTGCACCGTCCTTGGCACCTGGGGCGGGGACACCGCGGCAGCGATGGCATGAGCCACTCCAACGAGCTGACTGTCGTGGTTGGGTCCCCTTCCTTCTGAGCCGGCTCCCGCTCCCGCCCAGGGCACCGCCTGCAGCCTGAGCCGCTTCCCTGGTGGCGATTTGGGGGGCGGCCGCGCGGCCGGAGCTCTGGGCTGCGCCTCCAGCTGTCCACGTGCAGGGCCAGCCTCCTGAGCACGCGCCCAGTGCTGCCGCCAGGGCAGGCCGTCAGGATGCAGGGCCGGTTCTGGGGGTCGTCCACTCGGCGCTCGCCTCGGAACGCCCTCCTTGAAGGGGGCAGAGGGCGGGGGGTTCACTCCCAGGGGACGCGGCAGCAAGAAC